CTACACATAACATTTGCACTTAACAATTATTTTAACCTGCTTTTTTACAGTTAACTTTATTATAAACACCTTTGAATGAATGAGTCTTTATCAATCCTCCAATAAATCAAAGGATATATATCACGTTGAATCATACTTAAATGATGATATTTTTGTGAGGAGCCTAATAATACGGTCCAGATGCATTTCAAGAGTTCAGATAGGAAGTAGATACTTTTATTGACTGTAAAAAACAATGTTGTTGCCTTTTCCAATGAAGACTCTGTTAATCAAAGAAATGCATGCCATAATCCCTTCTTTTTATGCAGCTTCTAAGACTTTCATTTAATTACCATAAGTTAGAATTGCTTGAGGTAGGGAGACAGTAGAATTATAAAGCTTTGAGTGGCTATTGACAGTAGGTTGGCCACCTTCACTATCTCAGTCCTATCTTTTTCTTTTCTAGCATATTATGGGGGTGCAAATGTTTAGGTTACATATATTGCCCCCACCCTCAAGTCAGAGCCTCAAGCATATCCATCCCCTAGATGGTGCATACCACACCCATTAGGTGTGAATATACCCATCTCCTCCTCCCCACCTCAGTCCTATTTTTAATTGTTTGACTTCTTAGCTTTTAAAGTGCTATCAAGAACAGGACCGCATTCTGAGGGTTTTTTTGTTTGGTTGATTGGTTGCTTGGTTTTTGCTTATTTTGAGTAGTGCAAAGTCATATTATCCACAGAACTTTTCTTTATGTCTACCTTAAGAAAACAATCTCAATTTTATTACAAGTAATTGCTGAAGGAAATGGAATATATCGAATGGATGAAAATGTTTGAATACTACTATGCATGCGACTTCTATTTTGCCAGGATATAATGCAACTGTCCTGGCCTATGGGCAGACTGGCTCAGGAAAAACCTATTCGATGGGAGGTGCATACACTGCAGAGCAAGAAAATGAGCCAACAGTTGGGGTCATTCCTAGGGTAATACAACTGCTCTTCAAAGAAATTGATAAAAAGAGTGACTTCGAATTTACTCTGAAAGTGTCTTACTTGGAGGTAAGTGATTTATCTTTAATTATTCTGAATTCAAAATTATCTTTGTAGAAAAATAAATCCAAGTCAGGTTTTTCCTGGCATGACTCAAATCAGTAAATTGCATTTTTAGTAAATTACATTTTAATAAATTGATAGAGAAAACGTACTGGCTCAGTTGGATCTGGCTCCCATACAATTCTTTCCTTGGTGTTAGAATAGTCTGTTTAATCTGATTATTAGAGGAATTGGCATTGCCATATAAGAAGATGATATAAATTCTTTAATTCCAGTTTTTCCTCTATTACTGATTCCCTGTAGAGTCCACAGAAAAGTGTTTGATTTTCCTTTACTGTTTTGAGGCTTAAATGCTGCTGCCTCATACAGAATGTTATAAAAATCAGGTGAAACACTGAGCTGTGTAAGTGGTGATAGAATGTGTTAATGCAACAGATATTTATTGTGTACCCACTATGTGCCAGGCCCTGTTCTAGGCACTGGGATATATCAGGTATTGGGGATATATCATTGAACAAAACAGATACAAATTTCTGCCTTTATGGGAGTTTATGTTCTAGTGTATATTAGTATGCAAAGTAGACTGGCCAGTTATATCTAACTAATCTCACGACACCAAAAACACATGGTTAGGGAGCTAATGGCTTCTGGGAAACTAGCTGGTCAATTCTATAGCAGTGATGTCTTATCTTTAAGGAGGAACAATTACACTTATACAATTTAAATATGCAATTATAAATTATATGTGAATACTTCATCCTGAAGTTGAATCTCAGCATGTTAACAGGTATAACAGGTATAAGAGGTATAGAGTTGGAAGAGGGGAAGTTAACATCATTAAGATTAGCTTTTTTGAGTCTCTTGATTAACCTAGTCACAGCCAAGGTAAATGAATATAAAAATAACACAGGAAATTGGTACGTTAAATAACAGCAACAACAATAATAGCAAATATAGTGCTTACTATGTGCTAAACACTATTCTAAGTACTTAAAGTTCTGCTTGCTGTTCAAATATTAGTTGCCATTTCTTCCTTTTGCACCCACCCCCCAGGACCCATCGTTCTTATTTTAACAAGATTGGTGAATGTGATGCTATTATAACACCATCAAAAAACTGGATTTGGGGCTGGGCGCGGTGGCCTGTAATCCTAGCACTCTGAGAGGCCGAGGCGGGCGGATTGTTTGAGCTCAGGAGTT